CGTCACACAAAATTTATTATTCTGAATAGATAGATGAATAGATGATTTGCTCTTTCGCGCGGAGATTTTCTTTCAACGTAAAACATTTTTGAATTTAAATTACTTTAAATCTCTGCGTGGAATATTTTTACTAGGTCGTTAAAGCGAAAAGTTGAAAAGTTGGTTTTTATCTTTGTTTATCAAAACTTCATGTTTAAAATAAGGCTTAAAAACGTTAGAGCCAAAAAAATTACTGACTTTTATTTGCATTTTTATACTGTTTGAAAAAAAAAACTAATAAAAAAGAATTAATATATAATTATTAATTAATATATTATTAGTTAATTCTTTTTTATTAGTTTTTTTTTCAAACAGTATAAAAATGCTAATAAAAACCAGAATTTTTTTTACTTTAATGTTTTTAAGCCTTACTTTAAACATGAAGTATAATTTGATTTATTAAACCAAAATTTTTTAATTGGAAAACTTGAAATAGAAAAATTGAATAAAAACATCAACAATTTTAATGAAAAACTTAATTATATTTAAACTTTTATTAGTCCTTTATTCAAGAAACAATAAATCATAAAAAACGTGGTATCTAATTTTTTATTAAGTTTTTGACGATGTTTTTTGATTTATTGACGATAATTTTTTTCCCCCATTACCGCACATCGGCGCGAGCTATGAGAGAGGGGGGGGGGGGGGGGGAGAGAGCAAAAAAAAAAAAATTTTTTTCGCGATTAGATTTTTTTGCATTAATTCGAGCCCTGTCTTAGTTTAATTTCTAATAAAATGTCTATTCAACCTTATCAATTTGAACCAAAAAAATATAGCAAACATAAATGTTAATTTAACTAAAACATTTTACAATTATTATTTTTTTTATCAAGCAAAAATGAGAGTAACCGTTACTTTTGAAAATATAAAAATTACTGAAATAAATTTATTTTTTTACTAAGGAAATATTTTAAATAAACTTTCATATGTCTAAGTCAATATTCATTTGTTTTTAACTGACTAAAGAGTTTAAAATTTGACTTCTATTCATTTTTGTGCCGTGGAATTGCCCTTATAACATAAATATATAAATTAATATTATAAAAAAAATTTTAATATACAAATATATTTTCACAAAATGCTACAAAACTTATTCTTGTAAGTAATTATGTGTTAGTTGAAAAAAAACGACTTTACTTTTAAATTTAATTACCAACTAATAAGTTTGCAATAATGACATTTTGTATACTTTGTTTAGTTTGACGTACTAACGTTAGTTTTTTGAGGCAGTAGAGTCAATAAACTTTGGACAAGACGCATTTTTTTAATCGAAGAAAAGCGTTTTTTTGAAAATTAAATTTGTTAGTGTGTGTTCATTATTACATTTTAGAAAAAATAATATACATCAAACATTTTTTTTTTTTATGCTCTTTCATATGAGATCATATCTTTATAGCACTAAGGGATCTCTTTAAGTTTCCCATAATGACCCAAAGAATAATTAATATGAAGGAAAACAAATTTGATGGCGGCCTGATAGCAAGAGAGAAGTTGTTATAAATTTGCATGGCAACTGTTCATAGATTTTGAATCTCAGAATCTGAAAACTGAAAAAAAATATATCCTGCCTATTTAGCTAGTTTCAATTCTATCCTGCCTATTTAGCTAGTTTCAATTCTATCCTGCCTATTTAGCTAGTTTCAATTCTATCCTGCCTATTTAGCTAGTTTCAATTCTATCCTGCCTATTCATCTATTTTTAACTTTCGAGACCTGTAAACTAGACAATGACTGAATCAGTCTTGTTTTAGCATAATATTTCTTATTTGGAAAATGAATATGAAAAATAATAAATACCACGTAGTAAATTTGTTTTCCAGCTCTCTAGTGTAAACATGATATAAAAATGAGTTTAAAAATAATGATTGCATAAGAATTAAATTTTGAAAAAGTATAAAGAAGTAATTAACAGCCTCCATCCCAACCATCTGCACTATTTACAACAACCCAATCTGTAACTTTTTATCATCGAATCTACTCCCCCTATTCAACCTTTCTCTACAATTAGATAGGTGAGAGTAGATTTTGTTAAAAACAATTCAGGCCTTCTCAGGAGACTCGTGCGGTTGCACGCCGTGAATGACCACGCATATATATTTTTTTGTTGATAACATGGCCACGATTTTTTTTTGCATTTATTAAAAATGACGCATTTTAAAAACGCGCTGAAAAAATCAAACTAATTAGTCATCTTATTGTTTTTTTTTATTAATAATAATTTATTATTAAAATTATTCATGAGAAAATTAAAACCTAACAATAATGCACATATATATATTTGTAATTAATGATAAAATAAAAAGATAAAAATAATATATAAATATATATATTTTTATTTGTTTTCATGCATTTAATAAAATTCTGGCGATTTTTCGTTAGGTTTTTATTTACTAAATGAATTACGTCATTAAGAAATTATTATTTCTTCCTGTTGGCTTGACAAGGTTTTAACTGAAACTTTTTATATAAGAGTTAAAAAAAAAAAATTTTTTTTCATATGTATTAAAATTATTTATTTTATTGTTTTTTTTT